GTGAATAAATTTCTTCATAATCAAATGATTTTCTTTAGCCACAACCTTTGACTACAAGTCTAGCTTTATATTATTCTTCTATATTTGCTTCCATTGTTTTTTTAGTGTATACCCATTTTGCTCTCAAAATTTCCGCATTTTTAGGTTTTTCTACTTCTTTCCATGTATCTTTCATTTCTATTGAATCAATTTCTCTTTCCATTGCTTTTAACCAACAATATTTGACTTCTCATTTTTCTATGTTTTCATACTCCTTTGGAACTTCCTCTACATAATTCATTGCATCATATGCCATATATATCTCATACTCCTTTCTGCCATGCTGATAATCTTTTTCCTCTTTTACTCCTTCTTGTATTACTTTCTTCTCCGCTATCATTTCTGATTTCATCTTCAACTGATACATTTTCCTTTTTCATTTCAGTACTTTCATTTAACTCGTTTGCTAACGGCTCCTCGTTTCCTCCGTTTATATGTTCATTTATGTTTATTCTTACAATATCTTTATTATAAGGAAAACAATTTTCATCAACTTTGATATCTCTCGCTATTTCTAATTTATTTTCTTTTATGTTCCATAATCTATATCCATTTTGTGCAAATCCTACAATTATACATTTTTCTACCTTTGAATCAAACTTATCTCTCTTTGCTTTAGGAATGTGACTTAGCGCTAGAGCTCCAAATACTGTAATATTGCTTACATCTGGTTTGTTACCATACCATATTTCTGCAGGTGTAACTTTATCTTTTAATGATTCTGTTGGACATCTGTTTAGAATGAAAGTTACAAATAACAATGCTTCATTCCATAATTGTTTCGGTACTTTAGACTCATGCATTATTGTTCTAGCTCTTTCAGCCAATGTTCTGTTCATCCTTTCTGCACCTCCATTATGTTCTGGTGTATATGGTATTGTATAATCTAATAATAATTTAAAATCTTTAGAAATATATTCCCCTCCGTTATCACACCGAAGTTTAAATATTCTCATTAAATATTCTCTCAAACATTGACCTAAGCATTTGAAAATATTCTTTAAATTTATCAAACACCTCTCCTTTATGTTTTATCATATAGCTATGAAGAAGGATTACGAGATTAAATTAGATGCCCATGAACAGTATAGTCGCCGAAATAATGTGCGGATTTTCGGGATTTCTGAGAAAGAAAAAGAGAATGTCGAAGTAACAGATATTCTAACAAAAAAATTAGGATATTTAATGCCTGAAAATGCGATTGAATGTTGNATTTTTACATAATTTTGGGTTAGAATTTTAAGATTTTTATTGGAGTTAATTCTAATCGCTATTTTGATAAGATTAGGATGGAATAAGTTAGAAATAAGCAAGTATGAATGTTAGAATGGAAGAATTTAGACTAGGATCTTTAAATAATTAGAAAATAAAGAATTACTCCAGTTCTATATGTAATTTAAGTTTACTAATGTTTATTTGTGTGATCCACCGTCCATTAAAATTTGTATCAAGATAATTTCGTACCATTGCCGCATAATGTGGAGGTGCTCCGTCTTGATGAAACACTAGTTCCATTTCAAAATCGTCAGGATTCCTTTGTACAATTTGCAAAAGTCTTGGATTAATATCTTCTTCTAATAATCTTAAATACAATGTTCCGGTCAAATTTTCGGTTAGGAATATTGATTGGTCCCACGATGTGATTTCCCAACATTATAACGCCTGAAATACGAAACGAAAAATTAATAATAAAAAAAATAAAATGGACAAACGAAACGAGCAATTCCCAACATAACCCGATATTGCCTCGTATTTTTTTAAGGCGCCACGTAATTTCCGTCCGCGACATACACTAATTACGAAGTGAAGTTGTTAATCATGTTGAGAATTGTCCCCACAAAATACAAAATAGAAATTAGCAACTGAAGGAGCTGTAGAGCTGAAGGATTCGTAAAACACAAGTTTAACAATAAAAAAAATAAATTTATTATCAAGCAAAAAGAATGATAATAATAAAAGTAAATATAATGGAATATTAAAGAAATCAAATTTTCAAAATAAAAATAAACGAATAAAAATAAATTAAATATTAAATGGATAATTTGGGTCTCAAATAACTCAAATAAAAATAAAAAGTAATGACGGTAACAAAAAAAAAGTAACGTTGTTACTTTTGTACGTAAAGTCGTTTCAAAAATATCAACTATACGAAAAAAAATAAATAAAAAGAAATATCCAAGATTAACCCTTATAAAAAAATTGAAGTTGTGAGAAATATCCATGTTGCAAGTAAAAATGAAATTTGAATATGAAAATAAAACGAAATATGTGAACTTCGCACTTGCAGAATTATTTAATTTTAATCGGGACCGGTTTCGAAGTTTACAATTTCATCCTCAGCCGAAAACTATATAGAAGTGAGAAATATTGTAATTAATCTATCTTATAAAATATAAAAAATACAAAGATATATAAAAAGAAACAAACAAAATACTCACTGTCAAAAAGTGAAGCCAACAGGTGTAAACATTTGAAAAATTTTTGAAATGTTGAAAAAGTGAACAATTTTAAATCTTATATAATATCCAGAAAAGTATCGTAAAATTTATAAAAAACCAATATGGAGGAGATATGAAACGTGATGCGTATAATAAAGTTATAATGAAATCTAAAAAATAATGAAGTAAATTAATTAAAATTAAATTAAATTATAAAATTATAAATTATAAAAAAAGTATATTATTTACTTTCGTATCCAAAGAGTGATACTAAAAAAAAAGTTTAACAAAGTGCGGTGTGAAGCACCCAAAATTGAAGTAGATAAAGGTGTGTACATTTCTTGTAACCAAAACTTTCATTTACAAAATAAGCAAATTGTTGAAAATAAAAAAAAAATGAACTTGACACGCAAAACAAATAAAATTCAACGATAAATTTTACCTTATGATGTTTTCTCCTTTTTTTTTTAGGTTACGGAATATCCGACAGGTTGAATGGTGACCAATACGATTCCAAGGTAATCACGTTCGGATCCACTGATGTCGTCTAGATTTGAAAGCGGTGAAGATAAGCAGATTTTTTTTCTTTAATAAAACCCAAAGTCTTCCACGCCCAAACTTCTTGTACGTTAAACCAAAATTTTCCAAAGATTATGTAAAACAAAACCTTCTCCCTCGGATGGTCGAGGTCCACATCAGCAATAACATTTAAGTTGTAAATTTCGAATGAAATATAATCCGGAATTAATAGTTCAAAAAAAAAACTTTAATAAAACATCGAAGAGTATTAAAAACCGAAATTTTTCGTTTAGTTTTTCGCTGCACAATCAAAAGAAATTTCCAAAATGGCTATTCAACGCCCAAAAACTTTACACAATTCGATCTTCACTCGAAGCCGATGATTTGTAAAAGAGAGCCTTCCAAAAGTCAAATTCGCTTAAATAACACCAAACCGGTAGATGAATAAAAACTTATTTTTCACCAAAATCTCTAACTTTACGATACGAAAAATTCCTAAATTGACCCATCAAAATCCTATCCCGTATGAAATTTATTGATAAAAAAAAATAACATATCGAACTACCATGAGATTGAAGAAAAATGAAAAAAAAATGAATAATTAAAATAACAAATATTACAAAACTCAGTTACACCCTCTATTGGGGAAAAACATGATTAGGTAAATAAAAGGATTGCCGCTTATAAATTCAGATTTCGCCACTCAAAAATAAAAATACAAAATTATGTGTTTTACGAATAAGAAATGAAAATTTAGGTTAATTGATTGTAAGGGACTTGTATTGTTAACAATATTGTTCCAGTAACTATTATTTCGTCCCACTTTATTATTACTTTATCCGTGATTATAAAAAAAAATAATTGGAGTGATTATGGCTAAATCATGAATTTGGAATTTAAGGATATTTTTTTTTAATAATATTATAGAGTTGTATATTAAAAAAATTCAAAACATGAACATACACCAGAACCATTGGATTTGTCAGTCTATAATAAAGAAAGGTGTCTAGAACTTTGTTCCATTATCATATCTAAATTGAACATTATTGTCGTTCTAGTATATCATCCACCAAATGGAGATAAACAAGAGTTCCTTGATAGGATGGAAAGTATTCTTGATTACCTGACAGAAACTCAACAGCACAAAACCATATTTATTATGGGGGAGTATAACGTTAAAGTATAAATGAAAAATTTAACGTGAGTGATAAATTAATGGCAGTAATGGCTGAATATGGTTTACGACCCGTATTCGACAAACCATCCAGAGTAGGAGGAAAAAGATGCATTGATAATATCTTTGCACATAAATTCGTGGAAATATATAAAACAGATACAATTAATTTTCATTTGGGGGATCATTTGGCGCAATCGTTGGTATTTTCACTGTCTTTTCAGCTGGTAAGAAAATACAAAAAATAATCCAGTGCAGAAAAATAAATGAAAAAACCATTTGCAACTTTAAACATTTATTAAAACAATGTGACTGGGGTGCTTTAAATACTAAAAACTTAGATGCTCAGGTAAGCTACACATTTTTTCACACCACATTTATGAATTGCTACAATGAAGCATTTCCAAAGGTAAGTGTGAGAAAATCTACTGATACCATAAAGATAAAATGGGAAACTGATAAGCTAGATCAGTACAAAAATTATTTGGATGCCTTGTACACAGTAATTGATGTGACGAACGATGAAAGACACAAAAAGTTATACAAACACCTGAAAGAAGAATATAGAAAGCATATTGATCAAGCAAAAAGAAGTGCTATAAGTAAATATGTGTATAACTCAGATAATAAAATAGCGGCGGCCTGATAAATAACAAAGAAGGAAACGGGAAATATAAAATGTAAAAATAAGGACGACTGCCAAATAGATGCTGATGATATTTTTTGTCAATGCAATAAGTCTTTTAGCTATAATATATCTTGTATATGTTCTATCTTCCATATATAGTCTGATTACAAATTTTCTCAACTCGATTGCTCTCTGACCCACCATGGACATAAATCTCTTTCCTTCTTCTCCCTACATTGTTTCTTCCTACAAGCAGGAAGATGATTCTGCTACTGTCCCGCGCCTTTCGACTGATGAACGCGAATGCGAAGAACATATCGTTCGAACACATACTCAGGAAGATAACGGGCGTTTTGTGGTGCGGTTACCATTCAAAAGGTCGCCAAGAGAGTTGGGGGTTTCCTATCCGGTTGCGATTCAAAACTTTAAGCGGTTAGAATTGAGATTCGCGCGAAACGAGAAATTTAAAATCGAATATGAACGATTCATAAATGAATACATCGAGCTAGGACATATGCGCTCCGTGCCATTAAATTTAAACATTCGTAATTTTTATTTACCGCATCACGGTGTCATCCGCGAATCTAGTTCGACGACACGGCTACGAGTAGTATTCAACGGTTCTCAGTTAACTTCCTCCGGGCTTTCGCTTAACGATTGTTTATACACCGGACCTAAGCTTCAAACCGAACTCGTTGATGTACTTTTGCGGTGGAGGCGCCATCCAATTGCTATCGCATGCGACCTCGAGAAAATGTATAGACAAATTCGACTTCATGAAATGGATCAACCATTCCAGCGTATTGTCTGGAGAAATAATTGTTCACAAGAACTTCAAAATTTTGAATTGACCACTGTCACATATGGTCTTTCATGTGCTCCGTACTTAGCAATCCGTTGTTTACGCCAGCTAGCCTCCGAGCATACTGAAGCGCAACCGTTCGGTGCCGTAATTCTTCAACCCGACAAGTATGTAGACGATATTCTTTCCGGCGCGGATACCGTCGACGAGGTACAGGAAGTAATTTTCCAATTGACTCAAGTATTAAAGGCGGGCGGATTCACTGTACTTTCGTTCATCGCGCAATTGTTCGATCCCCTCGGCTGGCTTTCGCCTCTGATTATTACCGCGAAAATATTCATGCAAAATCTTTGGACTCGTAATCTTGAGTGGGATCAACCACTCCCGGAGGATCTCGAACGGCAATGGAAAACGGTTGTTGATGATTTTCGCGGTGTTCCGATGATAAGGGTACCGCGATGGTTGGGTTTGGGTCGGTCGGTAAATTCGATTCAGTTGCACGGTTTTGCTGACGCGTCCACTAGTGCTTATGGAGGTAGTTTATTTGCGTGTCTTTAATAACGAAGAAGTTCGCGTATCCGTCGTGTTTTCTAAAAGTAAAGTGGCGCCGCTTAAAGTTGTCACTATCCCGCGTCTCGAATTATGCGCGTGTGTATTGCTGGTTCGGTTGGCAAAGCGTGTAAGATCAGCTCTTGACATTTCCGACATCCCCATTCATCTCTGGACTGACTCTACTGTGGCTCTGGCGTGGATCTGCAGTCAACCATCGAAATGGAAGGACTTCGTCCGCAACAGGGTCACCGAGATCCACGATCTACCGGAGGCGCAATGGCGTTATGTTCCCAGCGGAGAAAATCCCGCCGACTTCGTATCGCGAGGAGTTCCCGTTCGACAGCTTCAGGAGGCGACGCTGTGGTGGTCTGGACCTGCATGGTTGTCTTCATCTTCCGGTGACTGGCCATCTCTCCATCCGGACTTTTCTTCTGAATCAGAACGAGAAAAACGTTCAACTCCTGCATCACATACTGCGACTCCGTCTGATGAAGGGTGGAATCTCAAACACCGATATTCCTCACTCAATAAACTATTACGCGTCACCGCATGGTGTTCGCGAATATTTTCAAAATCTAGTTATGTTTCAGACGTTTTAACACCCGATGAAGTGGATAGGGCTCTAATGTTTTTGGTTCAAGAGTGCCAACAACTTTCTTTTCGTGAGGAAATTCGAGAGTTGCTGGGCGGTCGAGTAATTTCAAAGTCGAGTCCATTATTCCGTTTATCTCCATTCGTCGACGGGAATGGCTTTCTCCGTATTGCCGGGAGACTTAGATTCGCAAATCTAGACTGGGATGAGAAACACCCTCTTATTCTACCAAAGAGTTCCCGCGTCACCGAGTTGTTGATTGACAGCCACCACAGAAGAACGTTACATGGGGGAACGCAACTCACCTTATCATCAATTCGACGACGCTTCTGGATTGTCGGGGGTCGTGTTCCAGTGAGAACATTTATTCAGAGGTGTATGGTTTGTGCAAAACAACGGGTCGTAACCAGTCAACAATTGATGGGACAACTGCCTGCACCTCGTGTTACTCCATCTAGACCTTTTCTACACACCGGAGTGGATTACGCCGGACCATTTCTGCTCCGTACATTCCGAGGACATGGTGGTAAAACGTATAAGGCTTACTTAATTCTTTTTGTGTGTTTAGCCACGTCAGCTGTGCATCTTGAGCTTGCAACCGATTACACGACTTCGGGCTTTATGGTGGCATACAGGCGATTTTCTGGCCGTAGAGGTATAAGTCGATGTCTATATAGTAATTGCGGAACCAACCTAGTGGGCGCCGATCGTGAACTTTGTTCATTATTCACAGCAGCTTCGAAAAACTGGAAAGAAATAGCCAACATGTTAGTCGATGACGGTACGAAGTGGAAGTTTAACCCTCCTGCGGCTCCACACTTCGGTGGTAAATGGGAGGCTGGCGTCAAGTCCGTTAAGACACATTTGAGGAGGGTGGTTGTTTCTACGTTGCTCACTTATGAGGAGTTCACTATGATCCTTATACAAATCGAAGCCGTATCCCGGTAGTTACGATGTGTTGACACCGGCTCACTTCCTCATAGGCGGTTCTCTGACAGTAGTGCCAGAACCATCTCTCGTCGACGAGAAGATTTCTCGTTTGTCTCGATGGCAGCTTTTGCAGCGGATGTTGGAGGATTTCTGGAATCATTGGCAAAGATTCTATTTGCAATCAATACAAAATGCCACCAAATGGCATGTTCCTCATAATTTGCCACAAATCGGACAACTGGTCTTGATTAAGGATGAACGCCTCCCTCCCGGTAAATGGACACTTGCTCGTATTGAGAAAATTTACTATGGTCCTGATGGACACGCTCGAGTTGCAACGTTAAAAACACCGTCTACAACGTTAACACGTCCCTTCGTTCGTCTGTGTGTCCTCCCTTCAACTGAATAATAGACGCGCCCATTATAATTATGTAATTTTTATTATATTTTGTTCCGTCGTAACGGTTTGTGATTAATATTTCAGTTTATTTTCATTGAGTACGATTCAGTCACAGTTGATTTCATTTTCCAAATTCAGTTTCCTCTTCCGGAATCTTTGTAATTCCATGTGGAAAATTAGCCGGAAGATCACGTTCAATTTATATCAGTTTTTCTTTTCAATTATATTTTAAATGAGTAAAATTATATATTTTCAGTTTCTCTTTCTTTAATTTGTATTCGGTTGCCGAATGTTCGGCAAGGCGGGCGGTATGTTTAAATTTCATTAGATAAAATTGCATTCTTTTTATTTTTATTTTTCTTATTTTATTTAATTCCATTAGATTGTATATTTTCGTTTTATTTTCGTGCCGAAATTTTTGTATGTGTTCTTTCCGCCCGCAAGTAGAAAAAAAAACCAGTACTCGTTTTCTTCGATTTGCTGTTACGACACAGAGAATAAAGATGAGTTTTACAATGAACTTTAGTGCGTTTCTGTTCAACAATTTCTCTCACAAATTTAGTTTTCATTAAAGTTCTAAGTGTACATTCTGGACAAAAAGCAAGTATAGTTTTCTATTGACATTTTCGAGATCGTATAATTAGTAGATCAATTCATTTTCAAAAACGATCGTGAATAGATTAATCGAAAACAGTTTCCTTTCAGCCTCATTCATTGCCTGTCCTATTATTTGCATTAATTGATCGTACTCTATTGTTTTTTTATCTAATTTATTATGTATGTATTCAGTATATTGCTTCCATATGATCGTCCTTCTACGTTTTCTATCATTGGTTTTAGCTTTTTTAACTATCCCTTCTTTTCTAACGTTGAACATCTCGTGGTAAACTGGGAAGTGATCACTTCCTAATGTATCCTATCCTGTAAAGCAAATCATTTTGTCAGAAATATCGTTTGAACACATTACCAGATCTATTACACTGGAACTTCTATCATAATAGTTAAAAAGCGTACCCTTGCCATCATTCATAATGCTTAAATTTCTTTCCTCTACCAATCTAAACATGTCGATCCTTTTCTGTTTGTACTTGAACTTCTAGAGTTGATAACTTTTGCATTAAAATCTGCCAAAATAATTATTCTGAATGAGTGTTACTTAATATTTCTCTCCAGTCTTCTATGTTAAAATCTGCACCCGGTGGAACATGTCCAGCTACAATTAACATCCCGACAACTATTATTTTAATAAAGTGGACGTTTTCCAAAATAGAGTCCACACCATCGTCTACGTGGAAACGTCTTTTGTTGTTGTTAAGTTAATTATTAATAGTTTACAACTCGTTTATAAATTGTTTGTCGTTAACAATTTTAATTAATCCTTATAAAATGTCGGTAACACGTGAAGTATTGCACGAGAAGATAAAATGTTGCGAAAATCAGTCTATAGAAAAAAAGAAAGAATTTATTTTAAAATTCTTTGTAGACCATTTTTGTTCAACAACTAGTGGAGTAAGTGCAGAAAACTTGAAGCGCCATGTTAGGAATGATTTTTTTAGCACATATTTTCGATATTGGAATAGATGTCGCGACGAAGTTAAATTTCGTGCTAAATATCCCTCAATCCTTGAAAACCTATCCCAATTATTCATTGACTCCGCCTCTGGTAAGTTATAGAGTAATTAAATATTTAGATAAAGGATAATAATTATTAAACCTATCAAAAAATCAATATTTACGAATTCGAGAGGCAGCTAATTGCCACGGACACGACTTATATCCATCATATAACGATGTTTTGAAATGTAAAAAAAGCCATGCCCTAACGAAATAACCATCCCGGAAAATGCTTGCGAAATTAGTTTACAAAACTTATTAAATCATACTTCCAAAAAAATTTTAAAATGTTTGGATAATTATCCAAATGTAAATGTAAATTCTACTTTACATTTTAAGTGGGGGTTTGATGGTAGCGGATGTCATTCCACTTATAAACAAAACTTCATCACAAATGCAGAGGGAAAAGATGATTCGTTATTTGTGTCTTCACTAGTCCCATTACGATTGGAAGACAATGATAGTAATATTGTATTGTGGGAGAACCCCACACCATCATCTATACGGTTTTGTAGACCGATTAGATTATAATGAGTGTATGAAAATGGCGCTCTTATAAGAACCGAAGAGAAATATATTTCAAATCCAATAAGCTCCCTTCAGCCATATAGCTCAAAATGTGGAATGATTAACTTTTCTCTTTATTTCACGATGGTCGATGGCAAGGTGTAAAGTCTTCGTTTTCTTAAAACTTTATTTGAATTATTCATACATGTTATAGGTCTGCAATTCTTTGATGGAATCATCTGATATGAAGTGGTATTTATGTAGAACAAAGATTTCAGAGATGAACAATATTAATGCCTTGCGTACGAGAACGTTAGAACCAGAAGGATTTAAGTTTGGTTTGTCTGTTCTCCATGCATACATTCGGTTTTTTTGCGTGTCTGCTTCACAATGTAGAAAACCAGGAAGAAGAAAAAGGTCGCAAAGAAGAAGATATATATATGAATATGAGGAAGATCAAGAATCGGAACAAGAGCAATATAACGCAGGATACAACGAAAATGAAGATGACGAAGAATAGTCTGAAACAGAATAAGAAGGAACACACATTGTTAAATAGTACCGTTTTTTGATTTTGCTCTTTTGTATTGGGATTCATAGAAAATTTTAGTTATATTGAAATCCATTTTCACCTGTTTTTAATAAATCTTTAACTATAATTATATAATAATGGTATAATAATAAATATAATTAATAATAATTATATAATAAATAAATAGATCAAAATAAAAAATTATACTGAAGATGAGCAAGGCCCGAAACATATCTTAATGAAAGAGAAAATAGAAAATAAAACAATCACCAAAGTATTGTCATAATATTATTTAATTATACTTAAAGATATTTATAGTAACCTTACATCGAATTAAACTGTCTAAACAATTTAGTATGTAGCTTTCACCATTTAATAGCGTTGTATAAAATTTTGTATTTATCCAATTCTAAGGACCTAAATTATATGAAAAAAATTAAATGTGGCCTCATGCAAGGCAGTACCTCCGGTTAACACATTTGATCCAAAAGTTCACAAACTCTTTAACATATAAGGTACGGGAGGGTAATAAGGCTCACCTAAAATTATTTTGCATTTTATTTGAAAACTAATAGTTTGCTGTGGTATCATTTTTGACTAATATAAACTTGGACATATTCTCTTAAATATAAGGTAACAAAATAAGGAATTTATTAAACTCAAAAGATAAAATAATAAGATTTATAAAAAAGCGACACTGGGCTGTACTTTCAGAAAACGCGGAAAATAAAGCCCTGTATATAAAATCACTTAATTTTCACAGCGTGGACAAATAAACTGTTCTTCATCACCTGAAACAAAACCAGCACACTCTTCGTGTATCCATGAGCTACAAACCAAGCAAGACCGCATATTTTATTTTATTTAAATGTCTATTCGTGTCACAAAGGAAACAATACCATGATACACCGTCACCTTTTTTATTTGGTTTCGCGATTATTCTCCTTGTTAAATAAACTTCTCGTTATATGCTGTGATTTATAATTGATGGCCTTTCTTCTTTTGGTCGACGTTTTTTTCTGCGTAAAATCGGGCGTTTTTAAAATTTCCTAAAAGTCTTGCTTTGAAGTCTGAATGATTTTTCTCGTAAGGTATTTTGTTCTCATGAAGGATAGCTTCTGTGTTTGTTATTTGATGCTTGCATTGAATACCTGATGACTCAGGATTGGGTTCAATTATTACCGTGGCTTTATTATTAGTAATAATAAAGCCACCTAAATAAAGGCATCTGGTATAGCGCTGGGATTGTAAGGGTATATGCCGGTACTTCTAAATCCACTTGTTATGTTTACAATCGTCATGTATTTTTCCCAAACAGGTGTAAAAACAGCGGAAAATCTATCTTTGCTTAAACGACGATCTGGATTTTGGACCCAATATTGTAATAATTCATAGTCCCAGTGGTGTTCGAATGATCTAAACACTGCTTTGTAGGCTGGAGTTCGTGTGTTGTATTGCTTGAAAAATATAAGAGTATAATATCATTTTGTTCAGCTTTGTCTGCAATTGCAATATCAAGATGGCAAACGGCATCATCAAATATGAGCAATACTATTCCAACAGGTTTATATCTAGTAAAATGGTCAAGCCATTTGCAGAACAACTAAGTTGTCAAAGCTCCTTTTGATGAATGATTGCTTTCCCCTTTCTCTTTTGGCGCAAGTCAATTCGATTGGTTTCTATAAAACTAAAAACACTTCTTCTCAGAGCTTTTGGGGTAAGAGAAAACCAACAGCTGCTAATCGAATTATTCTGTTTACCAAATCAGCTTCTTGTGTTTCTGTCAAAATTGGTTTACGTCCAAGGTTTCTCGGGATTACTCCAGTATTCATGTGATTTCTTAAGGTACGTCGCAGAATTCCAGTTCGTTGTTCCACTTTCCTTTGCGAATGCCCTTGTTTTAAAAGCTGTAAAGCCTCTTTCATAATCTCGCTGTCCTAGTTTCCTCGTATTCCGCGACATTTA